AAAATATGTCATCTACATCTTTAGTTTAGTGATTACATGGCCATTAGTGTGATATTCTTTCTTCTTGAAATCATTGTATTTTATTTATTTATTTTGTAAATCATCACCTGAGGATGTTTTTCCATTTATCTTCAGATAGAGACAGAAACATTGATGTGAGAGAGACACATTGATTGATTGGTTGCCTCCCTCACAATCCAGACCAGGGCCAGGGACTAAACCGCAACCAAAGTGTGTGCTCTTGACCGGAATTGAACCTGCAACTCATCTGTTGGGTCTTCCTGCCTTCCCATATAGACATCTAACACTGTATGCATTTGCGCCAAGCCCTGTTAGCTTTCACACCATCTCTCCTGTGTTTTTGTACCAATCTCATTTCTTAGCATGAAGCTTAAGAAGATACACACTTTTCTTGCTTCTTTGGATTAATGAAACATTTTGTTTTCTTCTTTGGATTTTGGGAAAGGATGCCTTGCATGATGACCTCCTGTTTCTGCAATGTTTTCTTCATCTTTTCTGTTCTCTGGCCTAAATTAGCATCCAGAGCACCTCTGCATCCAACTGTACCCTTTTCTATTATTTCTCATTGCCTTCCTCTTCCATTTTCCATCTTTAGCTTTAGCCAATTTGGGTTACTCGTTGTTTCTTATGATTCCAGACTTTTTTGCTGGTTGTTGTCTGCTTTTTAATTTCTTGGCAAAAGACGAATGTTCATTCTAAACCTTTTATATTTTATTTTATTTTGTTGTTAATCCTCACCTGAGGATATTTTTTCCATTGACTCTTTAGAGAGAGTGAAGGAAGGGAAGGGGGAAGGGGAGGGGAGAGAGAGAGAGAAAAGAAGGAAGGAAGGAAGGAAGGAAGGAAGGAAGGAAGGAAGGAAGGAAGGAAGGAAGGGAGGGAGGGAAGGAAGGAAGAAAAGAAAGGAAGGAAGGAAGAAAGAAAAGGAAGGAAGGAAGAAAGAAAAGGGAAGGAAGGAAGGAAGAGAGAGAGAAAGAGAAAGGAAGAAAGAAGCAAACAAACATCGGTCAGTTGCCTCCTGTACCCACCTCAGCTGAGACCGAACCCACAACCTAGGTATGTGCCCACACCAGGAATCGAACCCACAACTTTTTGGTGTATGGGATGATGCTCCAACCAACTGAGCCACCCAGCCCAGGGTATTGCAAGCCTTTCTGGAAGTAAAAATGACTCAGGGAAAAAGTGCAGTATGATTCCTCCTCCCCACAGCCCTCTGCAGCCGCAGTGAGTTTGCAGGTGTAGCTAATTCACTAGCAGCCCCCAGGGTCGGCCCATTTCTTCGGCTGTAACGGATTGAGGTCGTCACTAAAAATAAAAAAAATGAGGAACTTATTGCCTGGCAGCTCCTCTGTTCCTTTACCTGAGATATAAGTCGTGTTTGCCAAGTAAAAACAAAGACATTGTCACCCAAAGAGGAATTCTTATCTTTCTCTGAGTTTTATAATAAAAGTTTTCAGAATTATAAAGTAGGAAGAGTGCAGGGTAGAGAAACCTCCTTTGAACACAAAGTTCAAATCAATAATAAGTAACGTTTCCTAGCCTCTGTTTTCGCTAAGGACTGAAGACAAGTGCTAATTAGAGAAGCCTCAAGTGCCTGGCTTTTTGGATGAACCAGATGGTGTCACATGAAAACTGTGCCTAGTGCCAGGGAGAAGTCTGGGTGGTTCTTAGCTGCCTTCCTTCCGACTTGATCTTGTCTGAGGACACCTGCCCGTTGCTTTGCACCGGGGCCTCTTCTTTGTTCTTTATTCTCTGTTTCACCCCCTTGTGGTTCAAGAGGTGCATCTCTGCCATCATTTGTGGGCGCTCTGACGCACTTTTATTTTTACGTTTTCCTTAATGTGCATTTTATTCATTTTTTCTTTTCAGATTTGTTGGACTCTTACGTTATTGCCTGATCTCATTAGTCTCCCCCCTCCATCCCCACATGGGTGCGTTCTTACTGTTCTTTCTCGCGATCACGTAAAACCAGCGCAGAAGCCTCTACCCTTCAGAGACAGCTTTGGGTGCTCCTGGCTCTTCAGTTTGTAAAGGCTCTTTCTGCAGGTTGTCTGAAAACACGTTTATTTCCTTTTGGTTTGCACTTCAATTTTTGTTTCCTTCCTTTGCCATGAGGTCAGCTAAGCAACCCTGAGAAAGCGCTGATTTTTGTGCAGTTTTCCGCACTGTTGAGTGTTGCTGATGTTTGGACAGATGCTGCACCGTGGGGACCATCACACTAGGGGGCGAAGCATGCACCTGGCGGGGTTGAACCCGGTTCTCGCTTTTCATCAGAGTTTTTTTCACTGGGACATGTTTTTTCACTCTGTTTGTTATGAAAGTCGTGATGCATTTGCCTGCAGTGAAGAAAGTCGGTCTTAATTTGGTGGGGTTTTTTTGGTCAAAACTTTCTTTGGTGGAACCAGAAGAAAATAGTCATTGGATTCCGTCAACACTTTCCCTGGCATTTCTTGCCCCTGCTGAAGCGGAGAGGCAGGGAGACCCGTAATTCAAGCCCGAGAGCGAAGGCCCTGTGCTTGGGGAACAGCTTGGACGCGCAGAACCACTCCCTCCGGTATCTCCATGGAGGCCGAAGGGATTTCTGCGTTGATTCCAGAATGTTTGAGTGCTTTCCGAGTTGAGAAACCGCCGTTTTTCTTCGAGTCGTGATTTCCTGCTTCACACGTTCTTCTTGTATCTGTGTAACTAACTAAGGAATTTGTCCCATTTCCTCACTTAGGTACTTTCTAGTTTGGGAAATTACTTATTTGATGTCTTTGCATCTTCAAAAAAAAATAATGTTGTACATTTTCTTGATTATAAAAGTGGAAGGGAAACAAAAATAACTTGTACTATCACCTGGAGATAATACTTATTAGTATTTCCTTTCAGTGTTTGGTAGGTATAGAAATAATAATTTACATATAGGACCAAAGATCCTGTATGTAAATATTTATACAAAATTTTGCATTTCCATGAAATATTAAATTATGAGCTGTCATTGAATATTATGAGAGTATAATATTGATTCATGATGTGGCTGCACCAGACATATTTTACGTCGGTCCTGTCATTAACCATTTAGGTTGCTTCCAACTCCTTAATATTTTAACCAGTGCTGTGGTAAAGATTTTCACAAACAGTACGTCTTCACATGCATCCCAGGGTACTGCATTAATGTATAAATGGATTTTTAAAGTCACGAATGTCTTCGAAGGGTTGACTTGAGTAAGTGTAAAGACGGAAATGAGTCCTAATGGCCGGAAGGTCCACGGCCGGAGGCCCAGCTGCTCTGAAGCCCCACCTCCACCCCCTACCTGTCACCCGCGTGGGGAGGGAAGGCCACCACTTAGAGAGGGTCAGAGCATAGTGGTGGGGGTCCCCTCGCCCCCCCCCACTCGTTCTCAGATGAAAGTCAGTGTACATCTCATCCACCATTTCAGTTTATGTGCCCCATGTTTCCTGACCCTCCCTTGGAGTTTTCGTTTGATTTGGGTTGAGATCTTTGTGTTTACATCCGGTTCCTTCTCAGCCAGTGACAGCGGCGCCCAATAACCAACTGACTCTATTTTTTTTTTTTTAATTAAAAAAATTTTTTTCTTTATTGGTTTTTTAGAGATAGAGGAATGAACAGGGAGAGGAGGATAGAAACATCGATGAGAGAGAACATCTATTGGCCGCCTCCTGCATGCCCTCCACTGGGGATCGGGTCCACAACCTGGGCATGTGCCCTGACTGGGAATCGAACCGGCGACCTCTTGGTGCAGGGGTTGACGCTCAACCATTGAGCCACACCGGCCGGGCACTAAATGACTCTTGTGATCTCTAGTATTCTTTCATTGCTGGAGGAGTGTGAGTACAGCGGGGCCACATCACCTCCCAATCTTGTGGAGAGTTCAGTTATTAGCTTAGGAGACCAGCTGAGCACCACTCTCTGTTGCCAGGCAGTTTGTTTAGGGAAACACTTTTTGCTTTGGGTGTGCTGTCTATGCAGAGAAGCTTCAAATCTTCAAGATGATCTTTTTTTCCTTGGCACCAGAAAGACAATTCTTTGACCAGAACAACATTGACCATAGTTTTTCTTAATCCTTGTTATTCTGATTTTTTTTGCGTAGATGTAAAAAGCAAAACAAAATATTTTTCTTTTTTTAAAAAAAACTCTAAAATAGCTGGCTTACTTGTGGCATTTCATATTGTTGTGAAATGTCCTTTTACTCTGTGAGCCGCTTTAATTCTAATTACATTGCCTATTTCCAGTTGTTAGGTAATATTTGCTTTTTGAAATTTTCATATTGAAATCAATGATCTGTCTTTAAGTAAAATTATTCCAGCAGTCGCATTTTGATCAGATCCTAGGAAGCTAACAAGAATAATTAAAAGCTGTTATAAATAGCATTTGTATCTATATTTGTAAAGCTCTTCAGTAGACCTAGCAGATGTTAGTACAGATTTTTATCTTTGATATGATAAATTTCTCGTTAATTTTGAAAATCTGGTCTTACGGGATGTTCTTCCCGGTGTGCGCAATTGGACTGCAGTTTGTGACTGTTCAAGTGCTGTACTGACAGACTATTGGCCAGATTGTAACCGAGCCTGTTTTAGGCAAAGACTAAGTTCTAGAGCTTTGTGTTCTGTGTTTTATGCTCAGACACATGTATTTGAATTTTTTCTTTTTTGTGGGTCCAGAAAGTATATAAATTACTCTCTCTCTCTTTTATATGCAAGATGGCCCAAAGTAGGTTTGCAGTTGTTTGTACAGAGAATAATACAATAATAAATAAATAATAATATAAGAATAGACTCTGAGTTTTGCCTACTCACAACTGTAAGCCTACTTTTGCACCCCACCCGTGTGTGTGTGTGTGTGTGTGTGTGTGTTTATTACATTGTGTATGTAACCTAAGTTAGAAGTGAAGATGTATATACTTCATTTTTTAAATAAAAAGTGTTCAGTTTAAGCTTTCACTATTTAATTAAAAATTCTTCTTCTCTTTGTATAGGTTGAAGAAATTGTGGACGTTGGATCATTTGCCCCAGAAGACATCCATATTCCTCAGATTTATGTACATCGCCTTATCAAGGGGGAAAAATATGAGAAAAGAATTGAGGTAGTTACCTAACTTCCTTGTCAGAATTGATGGATGTGATGATCAGAGAGCTGCCCCTGGGGCCATTCCAGATCAGAGGGAATTAGAGCTGAACAGGAAGCCTTGCTTGGATGTTAGCAGGAGCTTTTCTTGTGTCCATCATGAAGGGTCATGATCATCTGTGTTGTCCAGCCCAACAGTGCCTTGTGGTCCTGTAGGCAGTTTCCAGGCGTCTGTAACTGTCCTGATTTGGGATGCATTGTTTTGCACCTACCCTGTTCTGTAGGGTAGAGAAGGATAATTGGGTCTCTGTTGGCTTTACCTCTACTGGACTCTTAATGTTTGATTGTTCAGAATGTCTAGCTTGAAGTTGCTTTACACTTTATACAGTCGGGAAAGAACACCACTTCCCATTAGTGCTAGATATTAGGCTTTAGACAGCTGGTGGGTATGAGACTGTGGCAAGGAGTGGCTTCCAGGATCATTGGAGGTATTTTGGGTATACTCAGAACTTGAAGAATGACCATCTGGGCCACAATTGATACCAGATTCGGATGTGTCTGGGGATCAGCAACAGCAGTATCTGGGAATCAGAGATTCCTGTACCCTGTGGGCATCAAACAGAAAGATATTCTGCAATCCAAAACTGATGTCAGCCAGCTAGAAAGAAATGATGGGATGTTTGCAACAGGAAGCAGAGTCTGCATGGAGGAGATTTAGCACTGGAAATACTTTCCTGGCTGATCCCTGTAATGCATTTAGAGCAAAACCAGCCTAGACTCTGCAGGTGGAAATAGGCAATTGAGAGCAACCGCACCTGGTGAGCACATTCTGACAGCCCTGCAAGAACAGTCCCAAGGTCTGGTATTCCTTGTCCTTCATTCTGGCTCAGCCCAAGCACCCGAGAGACAGCAGTCGCAGGAGGCTGCAGAGGAGGCAGTAGCAGCAGTCATTGTGGCAGGAACGGGGATGGTTTGCTTCAAAGAGACAGAGCAAGTATATCTTCCTCTTCAAGTAAATCTGCCCTCTTTCACTTGCTTTCTAAAGAAAGATTTCTGCCCTGGCCGGGTGGTTCAGTTGGTTGGAGTGTCATCCAGTATACTGAAAGGTTGTAGGATCGATTCCCAGTCTGGGTGCATACGAGAGGCAAGCAATCAATGTTTCTCTCTCACATTGATGTTTCTCTCTCTCCCTACCTCTCTCTCTAAAGTAAATCAATAAGTATGTCCTTGGGTGAGGATTAAAAAAAAAAGGAGTTATTTATTTCTGGTTATTCTTTTTGTTTTAACCCATCAATAATAACTTTATTTATTTATTTATTTTGCTAAGTGGATTTTATTTATTTTTAAAAATTTATTTTTGTTACAGATATTTCTCCTTTTTTCCCCATTGACACCCTTCTCCCTATGCCCCCACCCTGTCCCTAGCTTTGTTGTCCATGTCCATTGGTTATGCATACATGCATATAAGTTCTGTGGTTCATCTCTTCCCTCCGCCCCCTACCTCCTCTTCTGAGGGTTGTCAGTCTATACCCTACTTCCACGTCTCTGGGTCAACCCTGTTCCTCAGAATGTTATGTTCATTATATTACACAAATAAGTGAGATCATGTGATATTTGTCTTTCTCTGCTTGGCTTGTTTTGCTCAGGATAATACTCTCTAGGTCCCTCCATGTCGTTTCAAAGGATAAGAGATCTTTCTTTCTTACAGCTGCATAGTATTCCACTGTGTATATGTACCACCGCTTTTTTTTTTTTTTTTTTTTATCCTCACCCGAGGACATTTTTCCATTTTTTTGTTCAGATAGAGCGGGAGGGAGAGAGAGAAAGAGAGAGAGAGAGAAACATCGATGTGAAGGGACACATCGAGTGGCTGCCACCCACACGACCAACCAGGGCCGGGGACAAACTGCAACCGAGGTACGTGCCCTTAGCGGGAACCGAACCCGGGTCTCTCTGTACCGCAGGCCGACGCTCCAACCGCTGAGCCAAACCGGCCAGGGCAGTACCACCGCTTTTTTATCTATTTGCCTACTGATGGACACTTGGACTGTTTCCAGATTTTGGCTATCGTAAATAGTGCTGCTACGAACATGCATTATGCTCAATTAATATTTGACAAAGGTGGCAAGAGCATACAATGGAGTAGAGACAGCCTCTTTAATAAATGGTGTTGGGAAAATTGGACAGCGACATGCAAAAAAACTGAAACTAGACCATCAACTTACACTATACACAAGAATAAATTCAAAATGGATAAAAGACTTAAATGTGACTTGTGAATCCATAAAAATTCTAGAAGAAAATGTAGGCAACAAAATTTCAGACATCAGATGCAGCAGAATTTTCACTGATACATCACCTAAGGCAACAGAAACAAAGGAAAAAATGAACACATGGGACTACATCAAACTCAAAACTTCTGCACAGCAAAAAACAACCATCATAATGGAAAGGGCCACTGTATGGGAGAACATCAATGCTAATGATACATCAGAATAGGGGTTAATTTCCAAAATATATAGAGTGCTCATACAACTCAACAAAAGGAAGACAAAGAACCCAATTAAAAAATGGGCAGAGGAACTAAATAGACACCTCTCCAAACAGGACATACAAATGGCCGAGAGACATATGAAGAAATGCTCAACATCACTAATCATTAGAGAGATGCAAATTAAAACAACAATGAGGTATCACCTCACACCTGTCAGAATGGCTGCCATCAACAAATGGTCAAACAACAAGTGTTGGCGAGGGTGTGGAGAAAAGGGGGACTCTAGTACACTGCTGGTGGGAATGCAGATTGGTGCAGCCACTATGGAAAACAATATGGTGTTACCGCAAAAAATTAAAAATTGAACTGCCATTTGACTCAGTGATCCCACTTGTAGGAATATACCCTAAGAAGCCTGAAACACCAATCAGAAAGAATATATGTACCCCCATGTTCTTTTTTCTTTTTCTTTTTAACGCTTTTGTATTGCAGATTTGTCTCATAGTAATAGTGGGAGAGAATTAAATTTTTTTCTGGTAGAGTTTTGTACCTTAGTGTGTACCTCAACCATGAATAATTTATTTCTGTTTATTTTAAAGCGTTTATCCACGCGGAAGGAGGGAGATGTGAAAGCCAAACCTGGGAAGGCTGGAGATAATGTGAGGGAACGCATCATCAGGCGGGCAGCTCTGGAATTCCAGGATGGCATGTATGGTATCCTTTGTTTCCTGCTGGGCGGAGACACAGGCCGCGCTCTCTCCATGTTCATCCCGCTGCCTGGCCCGCTGCGTGGTGATTCTTGTATTGGCCTTTCTAACTTTTAGAGCAGTTGATCAGTTTTTACAAAATGTGGTATATATAACTTACAGATATTAAAATATATGAAATTGGCCTGGCTGGGTAGCTCAGTTGGTTAGAGTGTCGTCTTGATACGCCAAGGTTGGGGGTTTGATCCCTAGTCAGGGCACAAGCAAGAAGCAACCAATGAATGCTTAAAGTGGAACACCAAATCTATATTTCTCTCTCTCTCTCTCCCTCCCTTCCTCCATCCTTCCGTCCCTCCCTCCCTCCCTTCTTCTCTTTCTCTCTAAAATCAATCAACAAAAAAACTTTTAAAAGGATATATGAAATTTGAATTATATGGTCTGTTTGGCCTTCTTGGAACAAAAAGGTGACCAAAAATTTGTTTAGCTATTTTCCCATCTACAGTAAATTTCAGTACAGTTTGGTATTTGACTAAATGTTATTGGGACTCGAGATTACCCAAGATGAGGTTTTCATTTCTCACAAGCACTAGTTATAACCAGTGCTCTTTACTTTCTATATATTCTGACATTTGCATACTCATTGAAACATAAGATCCAACTTTTTTTATTTTATTTTATTTTATTTTTCAACTACATTTTACACTCAGTATTATTTGAATTAGTTTCAGGTGTACAGCATAGTGGTTAGACAATCATACTCTTTATAAAAGTGTTCCCCTCTGATATTTCCTGTGCCCGCCTGGTGCCATACATAGTGATTCCAGTGTTATTGGCTGTATTTCCCATGCTGTACTTCACATCCCCGGGACTGGGCTGTAACTATCTATTTGAGCTCCCTAATCCCTTTGCCTTTTTCACCCCACCCCAAACCCCTCCCTCAGGCACCATCGGTCTGCTCTCTGTGGCTGTACATCGGTTTCTGTCCTGTGTTCATTTATTTTGTTCTTTAGATGTCACATGTAAGTGACTCATGGTATTTGTCTTTCCCTGCAAGACCCAACTTCTAAACAACCCTTTGTCTCCTGTCAAAGATCTCCTGAGTGGACTCTTTTATGTTAATGTTTTGTAAGGGTATTTAGTAAATGATTCAACTTCTGCTTTAAATACATTCTCAAAAGGAAGTAGGAGGAGATAGCTGAGTGGATTTTGACTGAATCTAAACAACGTTTGCCACTCTGCAGTGGAAGTGGACAGGACAGTCAGCGGTTCTAGGCCGCATAGTTCTCTTTTCCCCCCCTTTTAAAATTAAGTTTATTGGGGTGACACTGCTTAATAAAATTTTACAGGCTTCAAGGGTGCAGGTCTATAGTACATTGCATTATGTGTTTACCACCCAAGGTCCAATCTCCTTCCGTCGCCATATATTTGACCCCTTTACTACCCACCTCTCCATTGCCTCTGATAACCACCTTACTGTTGTCTGTGTCTGCGAGTTTTTGTCTGTGTCTCTCTGATCTGGTCAGACTGCGTGTGTTGAGAGGCAAGACTGAACCCACACCGTTTGCATACGAGTCAGGGTTGACTGTTTTGATGTCTAAGGAAGGAGATTCAGCACCCCCAGTTAGCTTCTTGGTGCCTAACCCAGCTACTTTTTACACGGTCTCAGTTGTCTTCACTGAAGCTTAGCCCCCAACACCCCTTTATGTTTTAGGGAAGACTCGGCTACCAGTGGATGTTATCACAGTGACCCAAAGGAGTCAGAACACTTTTTTGTAGACATTTTGGTATTACCAGAAAAGTTTTTTAAAATCTAGAAATGATAGCCCTCTTTAAGAATCTGAAATCATCCTTTTTCTAGTTGGAGTTCTGAAAAAGTAAAAATTGCTTTTAAACAAAGATCAAGCCACGTGTCATAATCTATCAGTCACAAGTGAGAGTGCATCAGTCCACGCTGGCCGAACACACTGATGAAAGTACAGTGTGTCTTACACCAAAGTGACCTCTTGGCCGGTCTTCGAGGCTTTGTTCTGTTTATGGAAAAGCATGTTAGTGTTATTAAAAAAGCTGTGACTAATTAGTCATTTTCTTTTTTAAAATAATTACAAAATAGTGCCTAGAGGGTGACTGGAGAATGTTCAGTAGTTACATCCAGAGCAAGTACCTTTAAATATTTTTTTTTAAATTAATTTTAGAGAGAGAGGAAGGGAGAGGGAGAGAGAGAGGTAGAACATTGATGAGAGAGAACATCGATTGGCTGCCTCCTGCATGCCCCCCACTGGGGATCGGGCCCACAACCTGGGCATGTGCCCTGATTGGGAATTGAACCAGTGACCTCTTGGTGCAGGGTCAATGCTCAGCCTGTGAGCCACACTGGCCAGGCCAGAGGAAGTCCCTTTAAAGAAGGCTTCTCTTCAGCCCTGGCTAGTTTGGCTCAGCAGTTAGAGCATTGGCCCGTGGATTGGAGAGTCCTGGGTTCGGTTCCCGCCAGGGGTGCGTACCTCGGTTGCGTTTTGTCCCAGTCCTGGTTGGGGTCATGTGGGTGGCAACCACTCGATGTCTCTCTCTCTCCCTCCCTCTCTCCCTATCTGAAGATAAATGCAAAAAAAAAAAAAAAAAAAAATTTAAAGAAGGCTTCTCATCAGGTTTATACGTGGAAGATTTATGGCACGGTCTCTACCTTTTGTGCATTCTACCTTAACATCTCTTCCAGCTAATTTGGGCATAGGAATCCCACTTCTGGCCAGCAACTTTATCAGCCCAAATATGACTATTCATCTGCAAAGTGAAAATGGAATCCTGGGTTTGGTAAGACAGAAATTAAAGTTTCACTTGTGCAGCGGGTGGCGAATGTGATATTCCGTATAGTGAGATCTGCTTATGACTGAGAGTTGTTAGCTCAAGTTCCCAGCCTTACTTTTCTGTCTGTTCATCATCACAATAAAATACTTAACTTTCCCATCAAATGGCAGTCATTGTGAGTATGGCACGTCATGTTTTCTGCTGTAGATGTAGTTTCCTGACCAGGTAAGCTTTCTGACTGCTCCTTGTCTATCAGGTAAGGGGCTCCCATCTCCCCGATTCCTGCCCCAGGCAGACCTCCCAGTTTCCTGTATGTTTAACTATATCGAACTCTTATGTAGCTGGACAAGGATGAAGGTCATTAACAATTCTCTGTGAAATAAAATTCAGGGCGGCTCTGAATGAAACCGGAAAAGTAAGGCTTTCGCTTGGGGCAGGGACATTTCTGACAGTTGATGCATTAAAAAAAATCTTAGCAGTTCTTCTCATTTAATTATCATCTGAAGGCCCTGTTGTCCAAAAGGGTAGATTTTCCTTTTCCTCAAAATTAACCTTCTAGATGAGCTCAGTATTCCCATAGAATTTGGCCACGGTTTTTCTTCAATATTATAATGAAAGTAAGAAGTACTTTTGCTTCCCGGATGACATTTTAAATTTAATTATTAACTGTGGCAGAGATTATTTATAGTTTTCCAATTTATAATATTTCTAATCTTTATTGTTCCCCAGTGTATCGTAACTGTTAGTGCAATAAAAATTTTACATATAGAAAATGTATATCTGGTATTTAAAGTGTAAATAATTGTAGGCGTAGAATCGATACCGATTGATTGAGGCAGTAGTCATGACTGTTTTCAAAAATGAAGGTGAGACATTTATTCGTGCACCCCTAAGGTGACAGCTGGGACTGCTTCTCTTTGGGGAGGCTTGTGGCGTGAGCTGGTATTGATTTCGTGGGCCTCATACGGCCCGTGAGCCAGACGTTCCCCACCCCTGATATAGAGTAATCAGTTCCCTCACTTGGAAGATCAGGGAAATAAGTTTATGAGAATTACGCATGGTCAATATTATTATTATTTTTTTTTATACTCACCCGAGGACATTTTTCCATTTATTGCACAGACAGAGTGGGAGGGAGAGAGAGGAAGAGAGAGAGAGAGAGAGAGAGAGAAACATCGACGTGAAGGGACACATCGAATGGTTGCCACCCGCACGACCAACCAGGGCCGGGGACAAACTGCAACCAAGGTACATGCCCTTAGCGGGAACCGAACCCGGGTCTCTCCGGACCGCAGGTTGACGCTCTAACCGCTGAGCTAAACCGGCCAGGGCCGCATGGTCAATATTTAAAGGAAAATTTACACAGGTCTAAGCATTAGTTACCACTTCATTTTACTTGGTCCCTTAGAAATATCTGTTAAAACGTTACAGCCAATATATCCTCATTCTTAGCTCTATCTTATGCCTTTTTCATTTTTTCTTTTATCTTTTCCTCCCTTTTTGATATGTTACTAAACTCCTTCCCCATTCAAGTAATTAGAGATGTTTTATAAAAGTACATATAAAATATAAAAAAAACTTACTGAGAATAAGTGGGCAAAGGAAAAACAAAGGTAGCAAAACTTAGATGTTGTGAGAGAGAAAGTCAGAACCCCAAATTCAAGCCTTTGGCTTCTGCATCCCAACAAGCTGAAACGTTGCCTCTCCGGTCCTTCTAGCCAATAACGCGGCGATTTTGTTTATATCTGATACCCAGAGGAAGGTTTAGGAAAAACATGGCTGCATAGTAGGTAGTCAGTAGTTACTTTTATTTTACTGACATATTTCTTTCTTTTTTTTTAATCCTCACCCGAGGACATTTTTTGTTCAGATAGAGCGGGAGGGAGAGAGAGAGGAAGAGAGAGAGAGAAACATCGATGTGAAGGGACACATCGAGTGCCTGCCACCCGCACGACCAACCAGGGCCGGGGACAAACTGCAACCGAGGTACGTGCCCTTAGCGGGAACCGAACCCTGGTCTCTCTGTACCGCAGGCCGACGCTCCAACCGCTGAGCCAAACCGGCCAGGGCATGTTTTACTGACATATTTCTAATAACTTAACATCGTTTTCGAACTTTGGTAATTTTTAGAAAATACTGTTCGTTTACCCAGTCACAAGTATTAGTGCCGAAGAGACCAATCTCTATGAGAAACAGGGCCCTGCACACATCAGAGTTATTTTCTGAAGCTGCAGCTCAAGCCTTTGGATGATGATGTCCTAGAGCGTCCAGAGACGTCCCTGATGTTGCAGTGTTGGTGTGCAGTTCGGTGAGAACCTTCTTTTGCTGGTGGACGTTGACTCGTTTGCTTCCTTTCACAGGGTCCGTATCCATTCGAAAGTGAAGTTGACGCGGATCTAATCAATGCAGGTAAACGTTTAGTTCTGTGCCAGCACTAGGAAGGCGTTGGGTTTGCTGCTTTGTCATTTCTTCGAGAGGACTCACTGTCGTGTTCGCTGGGGGGGAGATGAGCCTGGTCAGAGGTCTCTCCTTGGGGCAGACTAAGATAAGGCAAATCCCAGGGGAGCGCACGTCAGGCCAGCCTGGGTGGCTCATGGGTCAGGGTCTTGGCTGGAGGTGGGGTGGTGAGGAGACGAAGGGAGGACAACTATCAGGTGTGGAGAGGTTTGGGGAAACCAGGAAAGGGTGGGAAGACGCCACAGGGAGCTCCTGTCACCCCTCCAGGCCTCTTGGCCGCTGTCGGGGAGGGTCTGTGGCCTGTGGTAGAAGAGCACAGCCGTGTCGTGTCGCTGCACCTGGGCTCCTGCCTGGGGCTCCTGCCTGGGGCTCCTGCCTGGGGCTCCTGCCCGGGGCTCCTGCCTGGGGCTCCTGCCTGAGCTGCGCTTTGGTCAAGCCCAGGTTGAAGTAGGTCTTCATTCGCAGGATGAGACGGGTGCGGGTATGGCCCATAATGGCAAGAAAAGATCTGGTGGCCCCAGGGTTTCAGTTGTAGGAGCTGCTTACTGTCTGCCAGTCGTCGTCAGAGTCAGAGAGCATCCTTCAAAGGTGCAAGGGGGCTGAAGGGTGTGTCTGCCACCAAGTATGACCTGGTGATAGGAGTAATAAAGAGTTTCTTAGCACTGGGGCTCTAGTCTTGTCACATCCTTGTTCCCACTCAGATGCTCTACCTTTTACTTAGCTTTTTATTTGACTAGAACACAGTCACAGGTGTTAGCAGCCTGGAGGGGGGAACAGGTCACACTGCCCATGTTTGAGGAGCCACGGCCACTGGGTTGAGGTCGAAGGTCATCCTGAGGGTGGGGCTACCCAGCAGTAGCTAAGTTTCAGACATTCTTTCAGTCCGTTCACTCTACCCCTGAACAAGTAATCTTCTTTCGCCACATTCAGAAACTGTGTGCCCATCTCACAAGAGAAGGAGTCTGAGCTGAACTTCAAGGCCAGCTGCCAAGTAGGATTGATATTTGATACTTAGAATTTTTGGAAGTAAAACAGCTTCTGGTGGAATAGTTGAATTAGTTAATGTGACTCAACTCAGAAAGGCCCACTGTGACAAAGCAGTGACATTTAGCCAAGGCTGTAATTTCACCGTACTGTACCCTTCAGCAAGAGCTCATTGATCTGTGAAAATATTTGTTGCTTGGTTTAATTAATTTATGATGTGAGTGAGCTTTTTTTTTTTTTTTTTTTCAAAATGAATAACTCCATTTTCTAAACTTCAGGCTTTCCTTGCAAAAATAGTTCATCTTTTCAGTGACATTGTTGGATGGTAGGCGTTTCTGATTGAGTTTAAAAGTAGCTCCACCCCAGCGAAGTCACCAGTTTTATATTTCAACTTCTGAAATGTCAGGTGTAGTCTTAAACCACTTTGTAAAACAGGAATTCAGTGCTTTTGGGAACCCAAGTTGCAGATCAGTTTAATAATATTCTAACTCTCTCATCAAAGTCCTCTTTGGGCTTTATGATGCTTTAATTTTGGAGCTGTCCTAATTGAGCTAGAAAATCCAGAATATACGTCGACCATTTCCCCAACACCGCAAATTTGGAAATTACCTGAGATCAGCTTATTGTTTGTGTTCATTTGAAATTATTATTTTTTTTATGCAAGTCCCTTGAAATGAATACAGTTACGTTTCTGGATAAAATCAATGTATTAAATTTAAAAAAATAATAGAACTAAATCTAAGGATCCTTTTTATCTAAATAATAATCTCATATGACTATGTAAAAATGAATCACCATTTTCATAGCACTGTAGTTTACAGCGTACGTTTTTACACGTATATCATTTGAGCCTCAGGTGAAACCTTGTTATACAGATTGGGTACCTGAGCCCAGAAAAGTGAAATGAGGTGCCCAAGGTCACAGTGCTAGGGACTGGACACATTCTTCTACTCCTGGCTTCCGACTTTTGTTTGCTATACATTGAGCCACTCCCTCTGCAAAGCCGAGTTTTACAAAGGTGCCAAAGGCAGTGCTTAGAACATTCCGGAGGCCTTGGGACCAGCTGCCGTGCCCCAGTGTAATCCAGTCATTTCTATGTCTCACGTATGTATTAGCTTTCAGATTAATATGCATTTTGCATTCTTTTCTATTTTTTAATATTGTTTTCTTATTTTAGCCTACAAATCATATATAAATTACTTACCTTTGGTTAAACCTGCGTTAGGAAAAAACCACCCTGTTCATCTTCTGGCTACAAATATCCCTGGCCCCTGCCTTGCACCTCAGTGGGCAAAAAGAGGTGACATTGAGGACATCTGACAATGTCTGGAGACAGTTTTGATTGTCATGCCTGGGGAGTGTTATTGGTATCCAGTGGCAGAGGGCAGGATGCTGCTTAACAGCCTACAAGAACCAGAAGCCCCTGCGATGAGTCGTCCAGTCCAACGTGTGCATAGCGCCGAGGGGGAGGAACCTGTTCTGTAGGGCTTGCGCCACATCTGGAGTCTCTCGGCCTACTGACAAACGGACAAGAAGTACAGCGTTCAGGATCTATCGGATGGTTGCAGCTGACCCCTCCAGCTTGATCTTTCACTGTGCTCTACCAGGGTGCCTGAGTCCCCCAGTCTGGACTCTTGGGTCCCCTCTGATCGTGACTGTTGTGACTTACGCCTTCCTTCCTCCATCCCTCAGTTCTTCCTGTGCCCTTCACCAGTTTTTTTTTTTTTTTCTCTGTCTTCTTCCTTTTTCTTCCCCAGCTCCTCATTGGATTGGTTATTTCCAATTGAACTGCCCTACACCTGTCCTTCAAGTCCCAGTTCATTTTCCTCTCCAAATCCTTCTGCGCTCATTTTGATCACCCATCTCTCCTGCTGGACACGATACTCCTTTTGCTAAGGGCCGTGGTTTTTGAAGAAGTGTGTGTCCCAGACCCGCAGTGTCAGCCCCGCCATCACCCGGGCCTCGTTGGCCAGGGAGGTTCTGAGGCCCCTCCGCAGCCCGGGAATGACGGGCTCTGGGGCTGAGCTCTGCAGTTCGCGTGTTTGTCAGCCCGCCATGTGTTTGGTGGGTGAGGAGGTTGAGAACCACTGGTGCAGGGCGTCTGTGTTCGTAACACGTTTCAAGACACACACACGTTTGCTCGGTCCTGAGCGAATGACATGTTAAATCGTGAGCCAGCAGGTCATGTAGCTCATGAACTTGAGAAACTCTGTTCCCAAATATCATGAAGGGATCTAGACCAGCGGTTCTCAACCTGTGGGTCGCGACCCCTTTGGGGGTCGAACGACCCTTTCACAGGGGTCGTCTAAGACCATCAGAAAACACATATTTCCGATGGCGATTCATAACAGTAGCAAAATTACAGTTATGAAGTAGCAACGAAAATGATTTTATGGTTGGGGGTCACCACCACATGAGGAACTGTATTGAAGGGTCACGGCGTTAGGAAGGCTGAGAACCACTGGACTAGACTTTTATACATGGAAAGGTTGGAGGAGACAGAATCAATAGCCAAATAAGGAGGTCCTTTTTCTTTATGATATTGATTGGATCATTAGTTACAGTTATTTCTTGATCCCGCTCGGACAGTGTATTTAAAAAGCATGGATTCAACTTTAGGATATCTGTTTTTGTTTAGATATTGGAGGTTTAAAATGCTGAAAATTAACTTTGCTTCTGAAGAACGCACGTAAGAGGGCGGAAGGTATCAGCAGCGGCCTGGCGGCGCTCTTCGTGAGAGTCCTTTCTGGCTCTTAGAGAAGACTGCTCCGTAAATCCCACGGGCCGCTGAAGGTCCGAGTCGACCTCAGTGTCCGTACAGTGGTGAATAACACCTTCTGTGCACAGTCAGCCCGAGGACATTGCCATTTGGAAGTCATTGTGCCTTAACACGCAGAGAACAAAGGGACTGAGACTTTTATGTTTCTCTGTCCAGTGGTCCTACAGAATATTCCTTCTTGCCTCCACCTCGCAGGACTGGTGAGGAATGGAATTTGTGTCGGTTCAAGGCTCAGCTGTGTTACGCCTGTTCTAAAGCCTGGAGTCCACAGGTGCCCTAACCCACTATAAAAGTCAGTTGCTTGGTCCTGTGGCGTTTATTCCTTGACAGGCGACAGCATCGTTTGGGGCGAGGAATAACAAAAGCGAATGTTTGCGGAGTCCTTTCTTAGCCAGGCACTAGTCTAAGGACCTCACGCATCGTCTCCTTTCATCCTGCACCTCGGATGTGCTGTCTAAAAGCTCCTACTAATCACACCAGAAAGTATTTTCTAAAGCTTTTCAGCTTTATGGTACTTTGAATGATGTGAAGAAGTTTCCATTGTTTGCAATCACAGTCCTTTGGGGGATGACTCTTTTAGTGGTATAAATAGTCACACTCTTGCTCCACATTCCAGCTCAGATGGAGACAGACGTAGGCAGCTGTCGGGCACAGCTCAAGGAGCTGAGTACAGCTGTGCTGCACAGCTGGGCATGGTTTCTCTCTGGTCCCGTTGTGTCCAGGTGTCTTTCTCTCTTCTGTTCTTGGAATCACAACTTTCTTTCCCTTTCTTTGTGTCTGTCCCGTTACACTGGGGTAATGCATGGGCTGTTCTCGTACAGTTGACACCTTTGGCAAAGTGGCCTGTGAATACTATCTGGCTGAGACCAGAAGCTTCTCCCGGGCACCTGAAACTCCTGAACAGACAGGAAATAGATCACAAGGAGACGGGAATTTAGACAGGAGTCAGGCAGTGGCGTTAGTAGTGTGGGGACTGGATGACCTTGACGATCTTGCCCAGTTTTGAACTTTTATTACGAGGTGTAAGTTTTGAGAGAGTTCCTCTTGAGCTAACATTAACCGCGTTGGCCAGCATTAGGAGGTTATACCCCAGTTTCATCAAAGTCCTAGAGTTTTACTAGAAACGGGGGCGAGAGAGGAAAGATGAGAGGGAGAGGGAGCGAGAGGACAGATAGATTGAAATTGAAAGAGGAGATTCAGTCGATAGATTGAAATTGAAAGAGGAGATTCAGTCCTAACGATGCTAAGGAGTTAGGTGGGTCCTCTCTTTCTAGGTCATTGGTTTTTAAAAACATCTGAGGAGCATCTCCTGGGGTGTTCCCTTCAGAACTGCATTTCTTCATGGTTCTTCCTCCGTCTCGTTGCCCCAGTGACCACAGTGGCATTGGACTGTGGCAGGGGCATCCCAGGACCGCCTCTCCTCCTCCTAAAAGTTAGGGCCAGCTGGTGGGGGGAGGGGCCAGGTGCGAGGCCAGGAAGGGTAGAGGCATGGGGTTGCATTGTCTGTAGAGAATTTCAAAACAATAATGAAATTACAAGTTGGTCTGCTTTTTATTATCACCATGCAAGGGCAAATCTGAACAGTGTGACAAAATGCTCCTCTCCATGGGGTGGGCAGTTCCCACTTTGTCCCCCACTCCCCCAGTGGCCACGACATTTTGGTAGAGGGAGCCTTAGTTCCTTAGGAAATAGAAGAGGAATAGACCCCTCTCTCCACCACAGTCCTCTTAGAGGTCTAATAGCCTTTTCTTTCTTTTCTTCATGTGTGTGTGTGTCTAGGCAAGGAAACAGTTACTGTTCTTCCAGGAGCCTCTTACTTCTCCAGCGATGAGTCATTTGCGATGATTAGAGGGTATGTAATAAGGGAGCCGCGCACGGTTGGCCATGCGGAGCGGGCTGAGTCATCAGCTGAGTGTGTCAGCACGGCTCTGAGCACAGACACCTTCCCAGCCAGGAAACTGTCTTGGGCTTGTTTGGCGGCACCAAGATGTGACATTATTCCCATAGAACGTCGGGAATTGGAACAGCCAGCCTGCTGTTATTAAAAGAGCCCCCAAATGGAATTTACATCTGTGTGCCAACTATCGTGAAGTTGACATTTTTAAAAAAGTTCTTTCTGAGGATCCTAACATTTCCTGTAAACTTTGTGTTCATTTTCTAGCTAGGGCTTGCCTTCAAATCAAGCCAATTCTCCCTCACTGAAGGAAACAAACTCACTGTGTACACCTGTTTTAATTTGTTTTTTGGAAGCAATCTAAGCTATACTTTTCAAAAAGAACTCTTAATGGTTATTTCTCCGCATCAGCTTGAGCTGATATATCTGGAAATCAGGTGTTGGGTAGGAGAAAGCCAATGTACTTTGGAGAATACAGAACTGTTTATTCTAATTGCTGGCAAGTGCAAGCAAAGGGGCCATAAAGCTGATACGGTTTGCCTTTCAACCCCTCCTTTCTGGTTTTCTGCAGAGGACACGTCAACCTGACCATGCTGGGAGCAATGCAGGTTTCCAAATATGGTGACCTGGCCAACTGGATGATACCTGTAAGTAGACGTTTTTTTTCTTTTGAATTATGCTTGAGTTCGAATACTTATTTTTGAAACATTAAGAAAAATCGCTCTTTGCCGCATCTATTGCGAGGATGAAGACCATTCTCAGCAATCAGACTGTGGACATCCCGGACAATGTCGACATCCCCCTGAAGGGCCGCACAGTTATTGTGAAGGGCCCCAGAGGCACCTGCGGAGGGACTTCAGTCACATCAGTGTAGAACTCTGTCTCCTCGGAAAGACAAAGAAGAGGCTCCGGGTTGACAGGTGGTGGGAAAGGAACTGGCCGCCGTTCGCACTGTCTGCAGCCCTGTGCAGAGCATGACCAAGGGCGTCCCCTGGGCTCCGTTACAAGATGAGGTCTGTGTCCGCTCACTTCCCCACCAGCGTCGTCGTTCAGGAGAATGGTTCTCGTTGAAATCAGAAAGTTCTTGGGCGAAAAATACATCCGCAGAGTTCGGATGAGGTCAGGTGTTGCTTGTTCAGTATCTCAAGCCCAGGAAGATGAGTTGATTCTTGAAGGAAATGACATTGAACTTGTATCAAATGCAGCTGCTTTGATTCAACAAGCCACGCCAGTTAAAAACAAGGATATCAGAAAATTTGGGGATGGTATATGTGTTTCTGAAAAAGGAACAGTTCAGCAGGCTGATGAATAAGATCTAAGTTGTCCAAACACCAAGATGCCGAATCATTTTCATACTTACTTGCGATATTTTAAAGATACAATAAAAGCCTCGTATTAAAAAAAAAAGAAAAATCTTGTCACGTTGCTATGAGAGTACATTATAGTTATTTTCAAAATAAAGAAATATTCTAATGTGTTTTCTTTTTTTATTTATTTTTTATTTTTTTATCCTCACCCGAGGATATTTTTCCATTTTTTGTACAGATAGGGTGGGAGGGAGAGAGAAGAAGGGAGAGAGAGAGAGAAACATCGACGTGAAGGGACACATCGAGTGGCTGCCACCCGCACGACCAACCAGGGCTGGGGACAAACTGCAAACGAAGTACGCACCCTTAGCGGGAACCGAACCCGGGTCTCTCCGGACCGCAGGCCGACGCTCTAACCGCTGAGCCAAACCGGCCAGGGCTAATGTGTTTTCTTATTTGAATCAAATTTTAATTAAGCAAACACTGAGAAATATTCAGCTTCGCCAGTTTGTTTTATGTAGTTGGGACTAAAAATAGGCACAATCGGGACCAAAGCGGAATTTTCCATGAAGAAACAGAGGTAGGGAAGATTTTGAAAAATGGTATAATTATATATCTGATAAAAGTAAGAAATACAAATGTTTATCATAAGTAAGTTTTTATAACTAGAAAGAACAGTGGACAAATTTATAAATTTTATGTTAATCCTTTTATTATTCGCAGTGAGTGATGAAAATCCTTTCTTGATCGGTCACCTGACCCCATAAGTAATCAATCATATTGTCATCTATTATGGAAAACAAAGCCTGTGATGTTCAGACATGCTTGTAAAATGCGAACGGTTTTCATTTACCAATGACCTAAATGAGGGAAGAAACCTACTAGAATTAGCTTTGGAGAAGGGACAGTAATGAGTTGATTTAGGAGTGTGGTTCATTCTATTCCGGTTGTTGCTTTCTGATATGTGTATGGAAACCGTGGTGAATACAGGTCCATGATTAGGAGCTTATTTTGGCTGGTACCTCAGGTTACTCTTCTAATGTGTGCGTTTAAGGATTCTTGTGTGTTTCTCTGTAGCACCAGCTAAAAAGAATTTGGTTTAGTAACTGACGCTTGTGTTCTATGATTTCACAGATTTTTTGGAAATCTCTTAGATTTTAATAATTATAATGTGTAATTAGGTTTGAGAACCAGTGTATTCAAGAATGATCATAATCCATATTTACAATGTAAGGGGAAATGTGATTGCCCCATCAATAGTAGGAACCCTTAGCAAATTATTGATTATATTGCTATTTTAGTTTTAAAATGTTTGTCTTTCTATAGCTGTGGTCATAAGAGGCTTTTAGAGGCTTCAAAGAATCAGGGAGGGCCTCTTGAGCATCATACAGTGACGATTGACAAGTATTTAGGGAAACACTTGTTTGCTTAGGAAATCAGAATGTATTTCTATTTTCAAATTTTAGAGGAGGAGCATTTGAAATTAACCCCTGGGTTTTAGCCCTGACTCTACCAGTGATCAAGGTGTGACCTTGAACACGTCACTGAAGCTCTTTGGGTGGAATCCTCATCTATAAAGCAGGGTTTGAGGCTAGATAATTTCAGGGGTCCCGGCTGGTTCTTGTCTATCGTTGCTTAGTAGTTAAGAGCAAGAGCCTGTTAGTGAGACAGACCGACCTGCGTTAAAACCCTTTTTTTTGTCACTTGCTAGCTGTGTGACCTGAAGCAGTTGCCTGTGTTTACTCATCTATAAAATGGGAATGATACAGTAGTACCTACTTTATAAGAATGTATAAAGGAATCAGTGAAAAAATGCATACAAAATACATATCAAAGTTTGAACATAGCACATGCTTAATAAGTGGGTTGTTGTTATTTGATAAATTTAGAGGAAGTGTTGGGGACCCCTGGCAGAGGAGGGAATAATAGCATTGTTACTGTGAACAGAAGCAATAGAGTTTTAAACCTGTCTATTTTGTTGAACAGTTAATTAATTTTGAAATCAGTTCACACAGTGGTCCTGGGTATGGGGCAGAAACATATCTAATACATTTTGCCTTCAGGGAACTTGGGCATCTTCAAAAAGTTAGTGTACGATTTGTTTTTATTGTGGTTTAGCAGACAGTGAGGCTGGGAGCTCTCATAGTAACAGTACGTGTTTTGTTTTTTTGTTTTGTTTTGGTTTGTTTTTTTATCCTCACCCGAGGACATTTTCCATTTTTTGTTCAGATAGAGTGGGAGGGAGAGAGAGAGGGAGAGAAACATTGACGCAAAAGGGACACATCAAGTGGCTGCCACCCACACGACCAACCAGGGCCAGGGACAAACTGCAACCAAGGTACGTGCCCTTAGCAGGAACCGAACCCGGGGACAAACCGCAACTGAGGTACGTTCCCTTAGCAGGAACCGAACCCAGGTCTCTCTGGACCGCAGGCCGACACTCTAACCGCTGAGCCAAACCGGCCAGGGTATAACAGTACATATTTTATAGTTGTCACGTGTAGAAAAGATTTTATTATGTGTATCATAATTTTATAGATCCTGTGAGATTCCTGCGAATGATTAAAACATCAGTGTTTATTCCTCTATACTTTTCTTAATACAGTCTTGCACTAATGAGTTTCCAAAGAACTAGACCTACTGTGGTGGCAGTCAGGAACTCTGGAGTTCTGAAGGAACATTGAGAAAAATTAAGCATAAAAAGTATCCTTGTGTCTGGGCCCCCTCTTTTGGTAACGGAAGCTGATAGTGTCATTTCTCTTTTCTTTGATAACTTTTATGCGTTTATTTGAGCCACACTGATGGCATGCCGAGAAGCAAGATCTTAAATGCTCCCTGTATTGTCGTTTCTGACGAGCATTTCCTCTGTTCTTTTAGTAGCTGGTAATTATTTCTTGGTCTCTTTATATGTGGTGACTGTGTATTTTTGGATGCAAGATATAAGAATCCAAGACCATGACCCTTAGTTTGTAAAATCTGATTTGAATATCAGCTCTACCCCTTATAAGTAATACAATCTGGAGTGTATATGTTTTTGTTAGGATTAAGTAAGAAAAAAAGGAAAAGTGAACACTTAAAAGCATTCCATAAAGAACAGCTATTATTTTCATCTTTGTCAATGCTCTGTTGCTTAACAATAAAGAGGGAATATTTGCCTTAAAATACATTGATTTAACAAGATGATATTTACAGTAACTAGTACAGCCTACTTATCCTAAGTGCATGTTCAAGTGCCCACAATTAAACTCCTTGAGGACGGATTTTCTGCTTTTAATTGGCTATGGATAAAGGTACAGTTTCACCTCCTTACATAGTTGCAATGAGCAGTCTATTTGTCCTAGAGATTTATAAAATTTAGATATATTTTTATTGCAAGATCTGGCCATCAAGACGCTGCAAAGTTCAGCTTATTATATCATTTTTCATTTACTTTTATCTTCTTACTGAGTTTAATAATCTTTCGGTGGCTGCAAAGCCCAAGCCTTTCTGCATCGGTGGCATCCCCATTAATCATTACGATGCCAGATGCGTTACGTTTTAAGGCAGGCAAATGGTGGAGATACTCTGTCTTATTCTTTACTAGCTGCTTAGTATGCAGCATTGGTCCCATGGACACAGATCTTTGAAAATTCTGCCCTGAGCATCTGAAGAGAGAAAATTTAACAAAACAGCACTTGGCTCCTTTGAGTTCCCTGATTATCGTGTTGATGGTAAAACCCAGGCAAGTTAGGAAAATGTAGAAAGATGTGCAATCATAGAATCTACATTCAGAACTGCTCTGGCTTTCCTGATGCCTATTTTTGAAAAACAGCTGCCATGGATTATTGACTTGTAAAGGGAAGCAGATGTGTATGATCAGCTTTGGGAGCTGCTTATTGAAAGAATGCAGCTGCAGCCCACAGGACAGGGCTGCTGTCTATGCACCAAGCAGCAGCCAAGAGCCCCTCTCTCCATGTAGGGAGAACTGAAATGAGGGATTCTTAAGGCAAAGGAGAATAGGATGTTCTGGTATTTGTTTTTTCTTTACATTTTTAAATTTCTTTGTGCATTTTGAAAGAATACACATTGATGTCATACTCATGTATGTGTATGAGTGCACAAAATTGATATGGTCTTTTAGATATGATGTCTGTTTTAGAAAAAGAAGCTGACCTTCTCTTCTTCTTACTTGTACAATTGAGAAGATTTGTGTCCAAGATTCAATCTAATGGTTTTGTTGCATTAACTGTAGCCTAAATATTAAGTCCACAGGTACAGACACAGAAACATAAAGATTATGGGATTGATAAAAAAGATATAAACATACAGATGTATATAGTTTTAACATTATTGGTGCCTGT